AAAAAATTAAAAGTAGACTCCATACCCAACAGAGGGCTTGAACTCGTAAGCCTGAGATCAAGAATTGCATGCTCTACTGACGGAGCCAGCCAGATGCCCCAAGAATGTTATACAGCTGGAACTGTACAGGATGTAGCCTTTTCAGATTGGATTCTTTCACTTAGTAATACACATTTAAGGTTCCTCCATATTTTTTCATTGTTTGATAGCTCATTTCTTTTTAGTGCTGAATAATATTTCATTGTATGGATGGACCACCATTTATCCATTCACCTACCAAAGGACAACTTCATTACTTCTAAGTTCTGGCAATTATGAATAAAGCAGGTATAAACATCCATGTGCAGATTTTTGTGTCAACATAAGTTTTCAACTCATTTGGATACCTAGTAGTAACATCTAGATCTGGTAGTACAACCGCTGGATCAAATGGTAGCCTCTATACCTTTTCATCAGAATCTTCACATGTTGTGTCAACATTTACCTTCAAAATTATAGAACGGGTACTTTCTCACATTTGGAGCTTGCATTTGGAGTATGAGGGTAGAAAAATGAGTGCACCATAACTCCAAGATCTTTGGCCTAAGCAACTAGAAGGAAGATGCTATCATCTACTTAGGTGAGAAAAGAGTGGAAGGTATAGACTGGAAGTGCAAAATTGGACAGTTTGGTTAATTTGAGATAGATAGATAGATAGATAGATAGATAGATAGATATCTCCAAGTGGAGATGTCATGGAGGCAGTTGGATATGAGACTGAAATTCAGGGGAAGAGACCCAGGCTAAGGACATAAAGTTTAGGGTCACCAGGAGCTCTAGTGAGTATAAAAGAAATCAGAGGAATAGTCCTGGGGTACTCCAATGTTTAGAAGATGGAAAGATGAAGAATATTCAGCAGAAAAAAAGAGGAGTATTCAGTGGAATAGGACGGAAACCGGAAGAATGTAAATAAGTGTCACACAGAGGAAGGAACAACTAACTACTAAACGCTGCTGAGCAGTCAACTAAGGTGAAGACTGACGACTGACTGCTGGATTTAGCAACTAAGTGCAAGTCACCGGTACAATAATTTCAGTGGAATGATGGGGGAAAGCCTAACTGGAGTGGGTTCAAAAGAGAATGAGAGGGGAAAAAAAAAGAAAGAATGAGAGGAAGGGAAACTATCTGGCATAAACAAGTCTTCTAAGGAGTTTTGCTATGAAGGCATGGAGCCATATTGAAGGAATGTGGAGTCCTTCTTAAAACGGAAGAAATGACAGATTCTTTGTAAATGATAGGAAGAAAACAAAGGAAAAAAGATGATAAAAAAGAAGAAGAGAGAAGGGAGAGAGTGGCTGGAGGGATGCAGGTGAGAGCACATGGGATCACAGCAGAAGTAGAAAAGCTGGCCTTAGATAAGAACACTAAGAGTTCATCCAAAGTAACAGAGCATATGGCACAAATGATAAATGGGAAGGTGTAAGTGGTGGCAAGAGCTTATAATTTAGTTCATTTATGATTCCATCTTCTCAGTGAAATAGAAATTGAAGATATCAGCTAAGAATGTAATCAAGGAGAATGTGTTGAAGGTTTGAGAGAAAGGAGAAGATATGAAAAAATCACCTCCTAATAGCAGAGTAAGCAAGTGAATGAACTAAGGAAGTTAATAAGGACTGTGTGATAGTGTCATAGTTCCACTAGACACCGAATTATAGTGATATCACTCTGCGAGGTTATGTGTTTTTCTTCAGGAACATTCAATTGCACAGGTGCGTGTGTGAAGTAGGCAGAGTCACATTTAACCATGGTTGGATTTTGCCAGAGGAGTAGGATGATAAAAGGGAGCAACAAGGGAGTGCCTGTAATAATGTACCATGAAACTCCAACTGGACAAAGGGGATATATGGACAAGAGAGTGAGGGAAAGTACAAAGGTACTTTGAATCAATGAATTCCCTCCTGCTGATAGCGATGTGGAGATCAGAGGGGACCTATGGGTTTATTCCATAAGCACAGAAGTTTCCCCAAAGAATCACAATAAGCCAACTGTTTCTGAGAGAGTATTGTGTACAACACCTTGCACTCTTTAAGGGTTTTGCATCAGTGGGAACTCATAATAAAAGCTTGTACTGACCAAAGCCTTGGCATTTTATATACATTACTGTATTTCATTCTCACAATAATCCCAAAAGGAAAGCATTATCATTACCATTTTATAGACAAACTAAGGCTAGAGAGATTAAAGTACCTTATATGCTACCTCAGCTCCTCAAAACAGTCTTCAGAGACCTCAATCCCTATATAAAATCCAAAATAGCAGAATTTCACATGAAGAAATCCTTTATTTTTATAAAGATTAACATTTCTCTTGTACTCCAGGCAAATAAATGAAGAAGTTATTTTGTAAAGACTTATGATAGCCCTTTCTCTGACCAAACAATCTGATCTGAGTAATACTCCTTTATGACACTCCAATACATTGAGGAAAAAAATTTAGCTACATGTTATTCTCTAGTCTTTTATGTGTGTGCATATATATACATATATATATGTGTATATATATTTTTTAAAAGCCTACCTCCATAGAGAATTTTACAATGACTGAAGGAGTTCAACGGAAGACAGGTGCATCAATGTATATGAAGAACCATGAAGAAGTTAGTTCATGGACCAAGCAAGCTACAAAAATAAAGGAAAAGAAAAAAGAGAAAGAAACAGAGGTTTTCAGTTCATACACCCCCTAAAGAAACAGAAAAGAACCAAGACAGTGTCAGAATTTTAAAGTTAAATATAGATGAACTGAAGGAAAAAAAAAAAAACAGCATTACTTGGAAATCTTCCTAAATTGAATATTACTTCCAAATAATTGAAATTAATAAAGCATGCTATAACATTTTAGTTAATGAAGACACAGTTGCCGTATGGTTAACTAACATATTATTCTTTCAGTAGAATCCATAATAAAATAACCTATTAAGATGTTAAAAACTACCACAATTAGGTAAAAATAATCTTGTCACAGAGAGAAGCAGAATTTCAAAACATGAAATTTTTGAAATTTCAGCAGGATTTATAGATACTTATTTAATGCTATTATTCCTGAATTTGGGATGCTGTTATGAACAACTTGTACTTTCAGATTACTATCACTGCATTGTTTCCTAGTATTTTTATCTGTCTGTACTGTCACCCAAGCCCCTTGAAAGAAAAGGCATACATTTGCAAGCTGGATGACCAAAGGTGCTGGTACAAGTTATAGCTGTGAACTGTGGATCCTAAATCAGCTTTGCCTAAGAATCATCAGGAGGACTTTTAAAAACATATTTCTAAATTGCACCTCAGATTCTTGGAATTAGAATCCCTGTGGTTTATGAATCTCTGTTTATAAAAAGATCTGCAGGTATGTCTGATGGCATAGACAGATTAAATAGAGTAGAGCTAAGTATGCTCTGGAGAGTCTTAAAATTCTCAAGAAATACCTTTGGGCTTCTCTCACCTGTTCCATCCAGAATCCTATTTTTATCTATTTTATGTATCTATTCTGCTTCTTAAAGTCTTAAAACTATAAAATCTGATAGAGCAGAGTGAATTCACCCACACAAGAATTAAACTCATGATTCTGGCATCAAAACTGACCTAATCCAAACATAAAAGAGACCAGACAGATAAAAAGACCAGGATTGATGGACACAGAATATTTGTTAATGCCATAAGAAAAGCTCTACTAAAGCACTTCTGTAATTCATATACTTTTATTCATTGCAACTGAAGAGAACCTAATACATGACTGAATTAAAGTTCCAAATGGAAAAATGCATATACATATCTAAATTGTTTTAACTGCATATAATTCTGTCATTTCCAAAAAAACTACCTTATTCTAGACTTGCAATTAAAAATATAAAACTAAATAAATCTGAAGTTTAGTGACCTTGTCTCCTACAGAGCAGGCAGGAATAAATCTGAAAAGGTGTTCTCCTTGAGGAAATAATCACCCTAGGAGAAATATGATCAGAATAAACACCTGTCTACTGCTTCCCCATAACATAAAGTTTGGATTCTTTAAACCCCTTTCAGGTGTTTCCCCTAATCTAGAAAACTATGCTGTGTGCTATAGAGAAAGGCAGGTAAGTTTCCTCCTCCCATTCTGTCTTTAAATATTCTCCTAGGATTGGGTCTATCTATTCTGGCCTTTTGAAATTCTCCATTTCAACCACCCTGCCTAATAATAATGTACACCTGCTGGAAATCAAATTTGAGACATCCAATCCTATATGTGGTTATCATCTCAAAGGGCTGCTTCAACAAATAACTCAGCATAATATTTTTACTCACCTGTCTGAATGCACATACTAAGCAGGAGGTGAACTGAGTAAGAAGCCAGGAGAGCAACTATCAACAGCAAGAAACTGAAATATAAAAGAGTACATGGTCAAACCCCCACAAAGTTTTCTTTTTTGAGGTATCTCATTACAAAACAAATTTTTTTCACATTCAAATGTTCACAGGGACTATCTTTGAGTAGTTGGATTATGGTTACTAAAGAAAATATTATTCTGTATTTACCAAATTTTATTTAAATGAAAATATACTGCTTTTAGATTAAAAAAATAAATCAGAAAGAAACAAACTTTATATAAAACAAAAACAATTTTCTCCTTCAGCACTCTTATCTGCTGACTGCTGGTTCAGCCATTCAGTGATCTTGTACTGTTTCCCTTTTATAACTATTTCTTCCTATTTTAAGTCTAAACAGAAGTTTTAGTTGTGAAATCTCATTGTCTTCTTTTTCCTTCCCTCCATCCCTCCTCTTCCAATGACTGTACCTCCCTATTATACCTTCACCTATAATACTGAGTTAAGACTGTATTTCCTAGGGGCATCTGGGTGGCTCAGTTGGTTGAGCATCCAATTCTTAGTTTCAGCTCAGGTCATGACTCCAGGGTCGTGGGATGGAGCCCCATGTCTGGCTCCCCAGTCAGTGGGGAGTCTGCTGAAGATTCCCTCTCTCTCTCCCTCTTCCCCTCCCCCCACTCACATACCCTCACTAAAATAAATAAATCTTAAAAAAAAAGACTGCATTTCCTAGCATCCATTAAATACATACACACTCACCAAACCAAACCAAAGCAGTTAACACACATCTATTGACACAATTTGAAAAGGTACAAATAATGTAATAATTAGGGTCCTTTCACCAAAAGTGTGAAAAGAGACAATATGCATAATTTCCTACTTATTTTCAGGAGGATATGGACAGGACAAGCTTCTTAGAAAGCTGGCACTAGTGAGTGCCCCAAAAGTTGAAGAAATTCTTCATGGTCTACTTAATACTTGTTATTAAGTAGCAAAGCTGAGAGGTACACTTATCATTTGTATACAAGTACACCTGTCAGTACACTTGAGGCCTCACAAAATAACAGTTTGGTATCACTAAATGGAAAATGTGACATGATTCAATAAGGACATGTTCAGTGGTATACATCTGCATGTAAGGCCCTGGAGTACAAAATGTGATTTTTCAAAGGGAACCCAAAAATGAGTCCTATGATTATGTCTTGCCTAAGATGTCAAATACAGTTTTGAAGTTTTAAAATTATGAAAGTTTGTTAAGAAACAAAACAAATAAGCAAAGAGGGAAAAAGAGAGATAGAGAAATCAAGAAATAGACCGTTAACTATAGAGAACAAACTAATGGTTACGGGGGGGTGGTGGTGGTAATAGGTGATGGGGATTAGGGAGCGCACTTGTGATGAGCACTAGGTGATGTATAGAATTGTTGAATCACTACATTGTACACCTGAAACCAATATAATACTGTATATTAACTAAAGGGAATTTAAATTAAAACTTTTAAAAAATTATGAGGGGCACCTGGCACTCAGTAGAGCATGCTCAGGGTCGTGATTTCAAACCCCACATTAGTGTGGATCCTACTTAAAATTTTTTTTAGTTTTTAAAAATTATGAAAGTTTGTGCATATAACCCATTATAAAAGCAAGTTGGGGGGGCGCCTGCGTGGCACAGTTGGTTGAGCGTCCCACTCTTGGTTTCTACTTGGGTCATGATCTCAGGGTCACAGGACAGAGCCCCGGGTCAGGCTTCTGGCCCAGTGTGGAGTCTGCTTGAGATTCTCTCTCCCTCTCCCTCTGCCCCTCCTGCTTGTGCACACGCTCTCTCTCAAGTAAATCTTTAAAAAACAAAAAAAGGCAAGTGGGTTACTTAAAAATTGGTTTGCTTATCAAAAAATTAAAAATAAAAGCAGAAAATAAACCTAAATGAGACTCGATGCATTTTAAATTTCCTGGTAAGATAGATCTGCTTCTATTGATAAACAAAACAAACACTAAATGCTAAAGATAAGGTCTAGTTCTAAAGGATTTCAGTTTCACAGGGAAACTAACTTGCAAACAAATCACTATAACACATTCTAATAACAGAATGAATATACAAAGTACTATGGAAACACAGAAAAGCCAGGAATGTCTCCTCTTTTGGGCCAACTGGAATGAGTCGAGTCTAGATGAAAAGGAATAGGCACAGAACACATGTCTCAGGGAAACAAGACTACCTAAGAGTAGGAAGACAGGAGAAGATGGGAAAGAAATGAAAAGATTATGAACTTAACCCTCATAAAATTGCTATTTATAGGTAATCTGTATGGCTGATAAACTTTAATTCACTTTGGCCAACTTGACACAACAAATAGCCACTCCTTAAGGTTATTATAAGCAAGTGTGGATCAAGTTTCCATTTTAAAAAATTAGCCACACTTTTGGATAAAAAATACAAATTATATTGCATCCCTCCAAGCTACAGACTGGCAACAATAGTAGGAAAATGCTAAAACCCCAGAAATAATTTAACTAGACACTGTATAACACCAGCTCTGGAGCCTATCTCTTTGCTTCTCAGTGTACTATCAAAATGGAAGAAAAATAAAATAAAAGTAACAGTAAAAGAAAAAAAAAAAAACTCACCTAAATCCAAGGATGCCAGTATGAGCCATAACATAAGCTAAGCCAAGGATGCCACTTCCCATGATGGCATTCGTCATATTAAACACAGAAAAACCAAATGAAACACCTGGGGATCCCTGTCTGTAAAGTTCCTGCAAGCACACAAATTTAATAGTGTTAAAATGTTTGGATGGTGAAGTTCAAACTTCATCAAGAAATGAATGACAAGTTATGGAGAAAGTCTCCTGCAAACCACAGGCACTGTGTGACACACTAGTTTCTCAAGCAGCACTGGTTTCCTTTCTTCCCTTCCCACCTCTCACTAGTGCAGCGCCAGGAATCTTGTTTCTTAGGAAAATCATCTCCACCAGTACGGAGCCCACGCAGACTTCGGGAAAAGCCATGATTAACCTTGTGACTGCAAAAGATGAAGACAGGATAGGAATGGGGTGGGACAGAGAGAAGGGAGATGGCCTCAGCTCGTGTGATTACTGAAGAAATCCTTAGTCAGCTTGGGGCTGCTGTAGACCATGGTTGCTCCCCAATACTGGGACTGCAAAAGTAATCTCTATATATTTAATGAATTAAGTCAGCTCAAATGCAAGGATGGTCAGGAATACCTTGCAATGACGATATAATACATAGAAGCAATTCACGTTGCTCTAACCGAAGATACCCTTGAAAACACCCTCTCCCAAAACAGCATTTGGGAGCAAAGTCCTAGAAACTGTTACAGAGCAGGGACTTGAGTTAAAAGGCTAAGGACCCACTGCACAGGCTTTAGGGCCAAGGAAGTACCTATGGACTTATCACCAGGCCACCTCCACTCCTTCACCGCTAAGGATTTCTGTATGAAGATGTTTCTTAGGCAGCCAATGACTAAGTCTAGAAAAGAAAAATCTTGTTGACTCTGGCAAAAACCTCACAAGACTGGTGGAGGGAACAGGAAGTCCACAAAGACACTCACAAACAGCACTGAGTTACATAACGCTAGGGCTGCTCATCCACTCAGCCTCTTCCACCTGTGCCTGCGCCTTCAGCTTTTCTTTCTGAGCCATGTTACGCTGCTAGCACATTCATACACTCCGCCGGATCTCATCCGCCTCTGGCTGCTGCCTTAGGGCGCCATCCGCCAAGAGTCAGGCTCCAGCTTCTCCCTTATCCCCATGCCGCACCCCCACCTCCTTCTTTTCCCGGTCTTACTTGCCAGGCATTTCAGGGAAGCCCGGAGGCCACTTACGTTGCTTAGCAACGGGCTCAACTCTTCCGCCTCCGCCTCTTCGGGCTGCTGGGCAGAGACGTACCAGCTCCGCTCAGCGTTGACGATCCCCCAGGGTGCCTCCATACTGCTCGCTGGCCGATTACCAGGTCCATGTGCGAGCTACCACCCCAGCCCTCCAGTCGTTAGTCGCATCGGAGGCGGGGCCGTGGGCCCGGCCCTTCTGAGTTCCGGTACCTCACCAGGGCGGGGAAGAAAGGAGGGAATCGACGCGATCTGATGACGCTCGCCCCTCGGTGGCGAACGGTGATGATGTCATCGAGGGCCAGCCTTCCACGAGCGACCCATTTACGAGCTGCACCGGAGCATGAGGTGAGGGGTCTATTCTCGGAGTCAACCGCGGAGCGATGCCAGGAATTGGGATGGTGACGTTGGTGAGGTGGTGACCGCAAAGCCCCTGAGTGGAGAGGTTGAGGGTCGGGCGGCAGTACCCGTCCACCACGATCTGCTCTCCGCCGCGCGCCTCTTGGGCGCAGAAACGTCGCGAGGTCACCCACCTGGGTGCTGAGCCTAGGTCCGAGTAGTGGCTAGGAAGGAATGTGTTTAATCTTTTCAAAAGCTTTCTGAAAGAGCCTTTCATTTTACACGTGGGAAACCGAGACTCGGGTTAAGATATTACAAGATCACACAGCTGGTTAACTGCTAGCCGAATTTGAACCCTGACTGTGAAGTTTGAGAATTGCTTTACAGGGTCCTGGGGCAGGGCCCTTTCCCCTGCTAATTGGTTCTTTGGTATTTTAGAAGGCAAAGTGAATAACTGATACTATGAATGAATGGAAGCGGCATGTAACATTTAGCAAATCCTAGTCCTCAGAATACCAAAACCTCAAGTCATAGGCAGGACTTGTGGTAGTAAAACATTGAAGACAAACAACGTAGCAATATATTAAGACCACGGGCTCTGAAGTCAGTCAGACCTGGTTTTTAATCCTTGCTCAGCCGCTTACAGCAGCGAGACTGGGTGAATTAACCTACTTCTGACCTTTAGTTTGCTCGTTTACAAAATAAGGATGTGATATCACACACCTCCCAAGATTGATGTAGCAGTCAGAAGAATATCCTAGTAAATATTGCCATTGGTAAAGTCTTAAGTATAATGACCATTTCATTTAGAGGTGATCTTTTAACTCAAATCTCAGCCTTCCAATCCCACATGTATGCTATAGAAAATTGTGGGTGGAGAAGTTCATAGACTATAGGGAGGCTGATGGATCACTAAGCCCTTGTCGTGGCAGCAGGTGGGTTGAAGGTGCAAATTTATCATTTATTGCTAATAAAAGACAACATATCATGGAAAAGATAGTATACTTGTCACCACTAGAAGTTTTAATTATCAGCATTTAGCGGTTGTTTAAAACTGTAGAATTCAGATTTTTTTTTAAGATTTTATTTATTTAGAGTGGGGGGAGGGGCAGAGGGAGAGAATCTCCCGCAGACTTCCTGCTGAGCACCGGGCCTGATGCAGAGCTCAATCTCATGACCCTGCGATCATGACCTGAGCCTAACTCAAGAGCCCCACACTTAACTAAGCCACCCAGGCACCCCTAGAATTTAGAGTTTTATTCTTAAGCTATTGTGAACATGTAAGTTTGTAGTTTTATGGTATTTTTTTTAAATGCATACTCTTTTTTAGGATCTTATGGAGGCCATTTGGATTCTCAAGAATACTTTTCAAAGTGGAAAGCTGTAGAATATCTGAATCAGAATCACAGACTCCACTAGCTTGGACATCACAGATACAGAAGCTTAGCAGAGCACCTGGTATTTTCTTGTTGGATCAAAGAAAAAGATTCTCAACCATGCCTGAAATAGAATCAGACCAGAGAGACTCTGAATTGTTTTCACCACCCTCTAATGTTCGAGGAATGACAAAACTTGATAGAACAGCTTTTAAAAAGACAGTAACCATCCCAGTGCTTAAAGTAAGGAAAGAAATAGTCAATAAATTGATGCGATCCCTTAAAAGGGCAGCACTGCAGCGCCCAGGCATAAAACGTGTGATTGAAGATCCAGAAGATGAAGAAAGTAGACTAATTATGTTGGATCCCTACAAAATATTTACTGATGATTCCTTTGAAAGAGCAGAACTCAGTATTTTAAGGCAGCTTAATGTCAATCCACAGATATCTAAATATAATTTGGAACTAACTTATGAAAACTTTAAGTCAGAAGAAATCTTGAAAGCTGTGCTTCCTGAAGGTCAAGATGTGACTTCAGGTTTTAGCAGAGTTGGACATATTGCCCACCTGAACCTTCGAGATCATCAACTACCTTTCAAGCATTTAATTGGTAGGTGTGTCTTTCATGTACTAGAAAGTAATTAGCAAGTTCTAATTTTAGTTTTTAAAATTATTTTCTTAGATGTCAAATTACAGAAGCAGGACATTTTATCATTTTAATTTTAAACTGGATCTTGGGCTACATACCCTCTCTTTCGAGAATAGTTTTGGAATATTCTTTTTTTTTTTTTAATATTTTATTTATTTATTTGAGAGCGAGAAAGCGAGCATGTGAGAGAGAGAGCACGACTGATGGAGAGGGAGAAGCAGGCTGCCCATCGAGCAGGGAGCCCGATGCGGGGCTCGATCCCAGGACCCTGGGATCATGACCTGAACCGAAGGCAGA